ATATATATATATAGCAATGCATGTGTTTTTTATAACTATGCTTTTGTCGATAATCATATTTCCTGCTGTAAAGTTTTTACTATGCGCACGTGTTATAAGATATTTGAATGCTATAGAGGAATACTTTTGAAGTCACGTTCGTAGAAAATGTATAAAAAGCACAAACATTTTTAAGTTTGTAAGCTTTTATTTCTTTCTACAATCATGGCCTTATTTTTAATTTGCCTAATCAGTTAAAAAAAAATCCAATGCTATAAATGATAATTTTATAGTATGCTATCTTGATTTTTTATATTAGTCATTAACTCAAAGAGATTGTAATTATTTTATACATTATTTCACAATATACGCTTATGTATTTTTAACAAATAATTTTCAAGATTACGTATATTTTTTTATTTGATTGAAACACAATAGATATTTAATTAAGCTGTAGATAATATTTTAGATGTGTGATTTGTGATAACGAATTTAATGACTTGTAATACTTGTAAAAATACATTTGAAAATGATTATACATTTAGTATAAATTTATTGTGATAAAATAATATAAGATTACTGTGAGAAATCTTATAATCTATACAAAGATATGTACTTTTTCAAATTACAATCTCAGATATTAATATAAATAAGAAATTATAATTTAAGATACAAGACTGTAATATCTCCAGTATTATAAATTGTATTTTTAATAGAATGTTGCTTCTATCTTAAAAATGCATTGACTGCATTTGCAAAAGAATCGATTTCAAATTTTAATATATGGAAAAATCTATATTTTCAGAAACAGTTTTTTTTAGAATGATGAAATTTAATTGCAAAAAACGCAATTATTATTTGATAAATGCATTTGTAGAGAGAAACTTTCACGTATTTTCTCTCCATCATGCCTTATCGCATTTTGCAGGTTTATATGTGAATAAGCAAGCGACGTTCACGATAGACACGAAAGACATCGCTAAATCGAAGACAGATGACGGTAAGGTGTCGTGCACCATAAGCAATCCCAGTGGTGGGAAGACTGAGAAGCTCATCATCCCCCAGGGTGATGGCACTTATCGCGTCAGCTACACGCCTTTCGAGGAAGGCTGTCACACCATCGATATTCTCTACGACAATATGCCTATCCCTGGTTCGCCTTTCTCCGTGAACGTGCAACGCGGCTCTGATCCCAGCAAGTGTCGCGCGTATGGACCTGGACTGGAAAAAGGCATCGTGAACAAGACGAATCGCTTCACGGTGGAAACTAGAGGTTTGTAACTCAAGATAGATAGATAGATAAGTTTAAAAAACTTAATGCGTATAGATAAAGTAATGATTACCAAATTTTTAAATTTGTATTTGTATCGGGAATGTGTATCTTTAAATGCGGGTCTTTTTTATACTTCAGAATTCAGAAAAATTTATAGAGTAGGAAATATTTTCGCGCGGAAAAAAATGGGAATTGAAGAGGAAATGACACGTGTACGATTTTCTTTCAGAGGCTGGCAATGGCGGCTTGGGTTTGTCGATCACTGGTGACGGGGAAGTCAAGGTCGAAGCCAAGGATAACTACGACGGTTCATGCACTGTCGAGTACTTTCCTACGGAACCCGGTGACTATGAGATCGGTATCAAGTTTGCCGAGCAGAATATACCCGGTTCGCCGTTTAAAATCGAGGTGGTATCGGACTCGGAGGCGAAGAATGTGATCGCTTACGGGCCTGGTTTACAACCTGAGATGGTACGGGACGGTGTGCCCGCCAAGTTCACTGTAGACACGTCAAAGTGCGCGAAAGCGGCGCAACTGGATGTCAGATTGTCGACTGATAAAGGACAAGCGCAAAAGCCGCAGATCAAGAGCAAAGGTGATGGTTTATACGAAGTGACGTATCAACCACCGCCCGCCGGAAGTAACGTGCACATTGGCGTGACCTACGATGGCGAGGACATCAATGGCAGTCCGTACAAGATAAAAGTTTTACCCACCGTCGAACCAAGCAAGGTGACACTGTTGGGTCCTGGTGTGTCGCCCGTTTGCACCGCTTCCTTCCCCACTGACTTCGTCGTGAATACTTCCGAGGCCGGATATGGCGATCTAGAAGTTCAAGTTGTGGTGAGTAATGATCCGAGTTAAATGTTTTGCAATTGATACTGTACATTTTATATGACAAAAAGTACTTGCAAAGATAACTAAGATTAAAGATGATAGTAAAAATTAAAAATAATAATTAACACACAAATACAAGAGAGGCAGAGAGAGAGAGAGAGAGAGAGAGAGAGAGAGAGAACTCTCGTAAACATTAAGATCAAAGCTCATTTATAGATATCAATATAATTAATCTTTTTTTTATTTTGTTTAAAGTGATTGGTAGCAAAGCAGATTGACGAAATTGATTGTTAAATAATCATTCGATTAGATAGGATAACACTTCAGATGAACTGTAACGAGTAAAAGTTGTAATATTTGCAATTTCTGCACTAACAATAATTTGTTACTTATATTGAGATAGAATATAATTAAATCTTGTTACAATAATTTATAATGGAATATTTCTAGATATCAGAGAATTCTAATATATTGTAGTTTTGTAATATAAATATTTTTAAATTGTGTTAAAATTATTATAATTTACATATATTTTTTTCTGTTGAATACATCTATATATTTTTTCTTTTTTTAAATTTGTTTTTTAATTATTTGGAAGCCTACGATAATAATTACTGATGCTGGCGAGCTATTGCAAGGAAACAGTCTTCCGACACCTTGAAACATCTAAGAAAAAGTGAACACTTTCCGGATGAAGTTGCTATTCTTTTAGAGAAAGAAGATCGTTTTCATATCGAAAAAAATTGTATTTATTTTAACCTGCAATTGTAAAAATCTTTAAAATATGGTCTCACTGATTTAGTAATAGCGATACAGTAAAAATTAAATTTTTTTAAATAAATTGTATTATATGTTCTTATTGTGTGAAATATATTGTATAAATTAAAATGGCAACCAAAATTTAATAACCCTTTATATCTGGTTGTACTCATGTCAGTGTTTTACTTTAGCATATTATTATTAATATTCAATGATGTTGTTATTACATAATCTAGAAATAAATAAATAGATTTTCTTCTATAATTTACATTAATGCATATACATAAAACGCAAAAACATAATAAATACTAACTAATAATACTAATGTTTAATTGTAATAAAGTGTGCAAAACAATAAATTGAAACATATGCGAATACTCAAAGATATGCAACGATACATATAGTTTTCTTGGATATTCTTTCTTTTTTCTCATAAAGATTGAAATACACAAGGATAATATAAGAAATATATATAAGAAATAAGAAATTTAATGAGAAAAATATAATTTCTTGATTTTTTTTACTATTATAATTTGTTTCATTATTTGACAATTTATATTTTATTAACTTCTGTTTCTCGTATTTATTTGAAAATTTATTTGAAAATCTTAAGCACAGTACACAATAATTCGATACATTAGCCAATCTCTATGTATAAAAATATTACATGAGTTGTTTTCAATATCACCAAAATAAATTGGCCTACCATCTTGACAAATTTCTCAAATTATCTTGGTACCAGCTATATACCTATCAGAATCTTGTTTTTGAGAAATCACTAGACAGTCATATCTACACATACAATATACATATGTAATAGTATACGATATTTTTCCAAACAAATGGATGTATCGAATGTCAAGCGATAATCGAACGATTAATCGCAATTTTACAATTAATGATTTATTGAATTGTTTCAGGGACCGGACCAAGTGCCGCGTAAGGTAGAAGTACAGGATCTCGGCGACGGTAAATACAAGGCGACCTATCTGCCGGATGACTGCGGCCGCTACAAGGTCAACGTGAAATACGGCGGTAAGGAAGTGCCAGGCAGCCCGGTGAGCGTGCAGAGCGTCTCCACCGGCAAGGCGGACCAGTGCAAGATCAAAGAGGGCATTCAGCGCACTTTGGCTCAGGGGGAGGAGTACTGCATCACCGTGGATACTGAGAATGCAGGCCGCGGTGCAGTGACCTGCCGCATCCGCTCCACTTCCGGAAGGTAAGCACTCCAGGCTCGATTTAAATCCGGTTATTTCGGAAGAGATGAATCAGAGATAGCGTGTTATACGATACATTTTTCTTTTTGAAAATTTTTTTTGCCGTTTCATTTATGGTTGACATATATACATAAAAATATTTCTTTTAAAAAAAGATATTGTGTAACATTTATCGGAAATATTTTGTTATCTATTTGACTTTAATTTTGTGTGTCTCTCTAATATACGTGTCTACTTTTTGCAAGCAAAATGATTTATAAGAAATCATTTGCTTATTTATACGGGAGGTGCATATGTTTTAATATGTTAAATGTTCAATTTAGTATATTTATGTTCCCGCAATTATTCTAAGTTGCTAATAGCAATATCTTTCACGAGTTGTAACTTTTACATATATCTGAATTGATCTTGTGCGACGGCGGTTCATATTTTTACCGTAATTCTCACACATGTGTTTTTCAATCTTCGTAGAAGTTTCCAGACAAAAATTCCATCTTATTTTAAATACGTCGCGCCATCGCTGCCTATTTATTTTTAATTCATATGTGATTTCAAGAAAGATTTCTTTTACTATTACTCTTACTATTACTGTGCTTCCCTTTTTGCATAAGTATTAAACAAAGTGCAAGAAATTATTATCTTATTGCTACAATTTTATAATACGCTAGTAATAATTATTAAAATATTAAAGTATTTTTTTATTTTTTATTTATAGTTATCATTAATCATCTTTTCCAAATAATAAATAAAATATTTTTAAAACTTTGTCGTTTGCGGTTCAAATCACTAAGAGTTGCTATAGATCAGCGAATTTGTTATACGGATTAAATTAACAATTTATAACAGCATGTTTTTGTATACGATAGAAATCAATAACGGTATATCGGGATTAGTACCTAGAGTGTAAAGATGTTAATGACTAGTAGACCGTAAATCTTGTAACAAGTTCGGGAGAAACCAGAATCATGGCATGTTGCCATTACGAACATCATGTACAAGCGAATAACACGATTGTGGTTCATTGCGTATCTTCGTACGCAATATCCATGTTGATTACCGTATTATAAGTTTAAAATTAAATGTCGGTTTGGTTTAATCCAAGAACGAGGAAAGGTATCTATATCTAAGAGTATTAAAAATATCTTTAATAATACTTGGGGTGCCGACAGTGAAGAATACCAATTGATTGATTATTTGAAAAATATTAAAATTGTTTTTATAATAATATAGAGATCGTATATATAGAGAGATCGTTTTTCAGCAGTAATCGATTGCTGATAGTGTTGATAGAATTTTTTTCGTGCAACAATAATTTTTCGAAAATTGAAATATAGATATATTATATTTTATTATTATTTCTCACAATATTCTGTATACTTTTGTGCTTATTATTTATTTAATTAATTTTAATTAATTTTATATTTTATATTCTATTTTACTATATTTTTTCGTATTTATTGTATTCTTATTATTATATTATCGTACACACAAGTACACACGAAAATTGAAATCTTGCTAAATTCTTTTATTTAATTTTATATCAAAGTTTTTTAATTTTAAAATAGATACTACTTTTTAATAGCTTATTGAATAAAAACTATGAACTATGTATATCAAAATTAATTAAAAAAGCGTATGATGCGCAGTTTGATACAATGGCTTATAACATGCTATTCTTGTTGGCAATTAAATAGGTTAGATGAACTAGACGTATGTACATATTCTTCTAATTGTCATAGCTTAATGCCAAGTTATAATCATTCAACCGAGTTAAAATCATTTTACATTCTTTCTTTGACAAGGAGCTACATTGGAATTTTGCCATAAAATCATTTGCTTTGACCATTTGTTCATTAATTTATCTTATAGTGATAATTGAGAGAGAATTGAGAATCCAAATTAAATTTAATTTTATTATACTTTATTTGACATATGATCAATAATTATATGATGATCGCATAAGCTTCTCATAAACAGACTTTTTCAGCGAAAGAGAGTTTACCAGTACAACACACACAGGAATCGTTACAAAATATATCCAAAGTTTATATTACATCTTTATATAGCATTTTATCAATGAAATCAAGAGATACATAGTTTAAATAAATCTTAATCACATTGTTATGACAAAATTAAAAATGATAAATCGCGTAATGATATATTATAAAATAACTCTTATTACTATACCAAAGATCTTGTTATGAAGCTTGTTTATCGCAATATCAAGATGGAGATAGCATAGTAAGTGTTACGCATTCGCGCGTAACGATTATGCCCTTCGTGAATATTTCGGGATCTTTAATGAGATTTGCACTTCCTATCCTACTCTACAATGTATGCATTCACGCGTGTAACCAGTGTGTTCTTCTTGGAAAAATTTATTACAGCTCTAATCTCTAATCGACTATAAATGCATTCTGAACGCTAACAGTAGCACGCACAGCTGCTATCTCATAATTCATCGTGTTATCCTCCGTTGTTCAAATTGGCAGTGAGTGTCTTCTGTCAAGAAGATACTTCGGAACGGGCCAAGTATGTGTGTACCGGATGACATTACGCGTTTAGTGTCCCCTATAATAAACATTCTTTCAAACTACATTTTATATAAGACAATGCCCTACGACAAATAAATGTTTATATTTTAAAATAGAATATGACAGCATTTCTTGAAAATAGATTTTGCCATCGAGATTTGCTTTATATTGTTTATTTTTTTATATATTATTTATCAAAATTTTCAAATGATGTAAGAAAACATGTTTTTCTAAAAAAGATATATAGCAAATTTTCTTAAGTTTTTTAAAGGTGCCTAATAAATTCCTTTTAGGCAAAAAACTTATTGATGGTATTAAATTTCGAAATTGATTTTTATGTATTGCATAGATTCTCTTAACAAAAATTAATAATCTATTAGATTTGTGCATGAGAAGAAAATACTGAATAAGTGTCATTGCAATTAGAATGTATGAGTGACAATATATTTTTTTACTCTAGAATGTAACTTGAAAATATTTTACTTTTGTGGTAACTGTGTATCTTATCTCTTTCCTTAGGAAATACAGATATAGAGACATTTTCCATGTGATTTATTTATACGAATATTTCAGTTATCGACTTTCTGAAATCGTAAGAAAAATTAAGACAATTTTTTTTTTTTTTAATTTAAATATTAATTTCTCTTTTAAAGCTAAAATTTAAATTTCTTTGGTTTACATTTTTTATCTTATTTAAGATTCAGTGCAATTCAAATAATTAAGAATAAAACCGTAAGAAACTATTCAAAGTATTCGTATGATTTATTGTTGAATGGAATTGCAGTAATGTCACGAAAATTTACTCGAATATTTCTTGAATGGCTCTCCATTCTATGTATATTTTAATACGTGAATAATATGTCTCGGTCGGTGATTTCAGTGAAGTCGTTGACATTGACATAGAAGACAACGGTGATGGCACAGTTAATATTTATTACACGGTTGCCGATGCAGGAGACTATACCCTCAGCATCAAATTTGGTGGACAACCGGTGCCTGATGGATTCTACACCTTCACGGTAATTATATACGTACAATACTTTAAATATTTTAAACTTTGTTTACCACAAAGTTTAAAACCACCTTCATATTCATGCGAAATAAAATTATAAAAAGTTTGCAAAATTCTTTACATATAGCGTTATTAATAATATATACAAATTTAACATTAATTACTAAATCCGTTACTAGATTCTTTTTGAAAACTTCTTGCTGTTGTATACTTACATTATATCTATTATAGAAAGTGAACTTCTATAAGTAGAACATTCCAATTTATATCACAAAATATCTTAGCAAATGTATAACGTATTCATCTCTGCGCAATGATATAAGAATTAATTATATGAATATAGACCGTGAAGCTAATGAAAGCGTTATATCTTGCTATTACTTGACAATATTTTTTCTTTTATTATCTATTCTTGCGAATAATGCACGATATAATTCGTTATATTCAACAATTATAGAATGATGTAAGTTAATTTAATATCTTAAAATGATTTTGCTTTATACAATGCTCTAAAATATGTCTATTATTATCATTACAATGAAAGAAATAGTCTGGGAAAATTCATATTATATATACAAAAACTTCACAGGAAGGAAGGATGTATAAAAAATTACGCATATTTATTTAGCGGATTTTTAACGGAAACTTGGAGAATGGGTTTTTAAATATCTCATTTATCAAAATACTTTTTAATTACTTATTTACTTATGGTACAAAAATTGCAGGTTATTTTCATAGAAAGAAAAAATTTTAATCTTCCTTTTTTTATCCTCTAACATGTATGGTTGTAAATATTTCGTCTTGCGAGGATCGACAGTTTTTGAAGAATTGCAAAACAAAGATTGATGATGCATGAATAGCATGTGTATCTCCTCGTAATCACGCCTTCTCGATACCGATCCGGATGCCCGGTGCTCTGATCGACGAGCCCCGGGGTGGGTGGGGCACGAGGTGTATCTAACTATAGAGGCAACACGTAGTGCAGGATATTGTCGCGTAGTCTCCAGAGAAACAGTCCACTGCGAAGGCTCATCGGGACCGCATTCACCGGCTCGTTATCGCACGAATCCTCGTTCATCACGTGGACCCCGTCGCGCTGTAACACGAATTCCTCTCCAAGTAACATTCACGCGCACACACACATACACACACACACATAAATCTCTATCTCTCGCTATATATCTTTCTTGCAGTCTGTATATTCCTCCCCATCTCACGTGCATGGACTTCCTCTAACTACGTGTGCATGTATGCCTGTTTGTGCGCACGCGTGTGAGTGCTTTCGTCATCAAGTGGTCCAAAGTGCCTCCGATCGCAAGTGCTGGAACCATAACTAAAAGCTAGTTGAAAGCTATGAAAAAATCTTATTAATTCATATGATGCCATTTTATCCAAGCTTCTCGAATAGGTATCTAATTTTTTAAATATCCAAACTCATTTTATTTTCTACATATGAATATTCGTAGTTGGATTAAGTTAATATTATGGTCACAGGGAATATGCTAATGTTCAATCTTTTTGATTGATGAAACAAAGATAGTCAAACATCACTTTATAAATTATTCTTTTTACCTACTATAGAAATACAGTAGAAATAGACAAATATGGTCAGACATTGTTCGGTCAACCTTTTTTCACTGTCAGTAGAAGAAAATCAATTTAGTCTGACATTTCTCTCTTTTTTTTTCCATATATAAAGTATCGGAAAGTTTATTTTTTCTGAAATCTTCTCGTTATTTTATAGAATTTGATAATCTTTTATCTGCTTTTATCTCGAGATCTGATTATTTCGCCGCAAAGCAAAGTGCTACAAAGTATGGAACAGTAGAAGCCGGTGATATAAATGCTTGCATATTCATGCGGTCACTTTAACGCTTTATGATATGTGCTCAATTAGTCTACTAAATTTTAACGCTTGAGAAAAATTATTGTTTCAGAATACGTTGCTTTCTTTTCTTGGCATATTGATCAAATAAAGTATTTATGCTTTCGATTGTTGCAAATATGCGTAATAATCCACGATGTTTAAACGAGCCATATTATTATCGAAAGTAGCTTAACAAGTCAAGTTAAAAGAATAAATTTGTCACTCTTTATATTTATTATATTATGTTTTAATAATAGTTCCAGAATAATATTTTGTTATATTGTATTTGGAAGTGAAAAATAATAATTTAATAATGTTACTTTAAAATATAAAATATTTAAAATTTTAAAAAACTGAAATAAATTTTACTATATTATTTTGCAATTCATGATTTTATTTTACAAGAAAATTATTTTATTGCATTGTGTCACGCATCATAACTCTCTTCGCGAATACCGCGCATAAATAATATCTCGAAGTGTACGACGTGCCTGGTGATCATTCTATTGTCTAGTAAGACATGGCACATTTAGTAGGATGTCCATATATTATGTCGTTGGGGCATCAATTGTAACTGGATTTTAACTGGAAATTAAAACTACGACCCATTTTGAAATCCAATACGTGTTTCGTCGCCGTTCATCTTTTAGCGAGAGCTCCTAGACTATTTCGAGTGCGACTCAGGCTTTCCCAAATTTATAAGCAGGAACGGAGTGGGTGGCCGAAAGAGACGGAGAGGGTGAATTAATACCGTGAGTTAAATTAAACCCTGTGCCAGGATTCACAACGGCGGCTTTGTGTGACACATTCCTCTTGTCGGCTGACACCGATGTTTGTCATTATTTCCCGCTTTTTCCACAGAATAGCTCTTAAATAAAAATTGACTTTTGAAATAATCTTCGCGATTATTTATGATCGAAGGCTATTAAAACTGCTTAATTTTTTTTTTGCTTATCAAAAAGAAAAATCAGGTAATTTATTTTATTATTACTAATACCAATTATGTCGTAACAGAAAAACAGTGATATGCACTTGGAGTGTTTATGTGATAACTGCATAAATAAAACATTCCGTACGATATTGAGAGGTTTGTGAATCTCTTGCTTTAATGTCAGTTTAATATAGCTGAACTGGTTATAAACAAAATGTAATATTATATTTGGGATTTATCCAAATGTACTGTCGTTCCGTTTACGATTGCGTATTTTAGGTTTTTCGCGAACTTGTATTATATAGTATATATTTAAAATATTACTGACTGTGTGCGTATACTCGATGAATCTATATCGTCATTTAATTATAAAAATATTTTAATTATAAAAATACAATTAAGCACATATAAATTACAAGACTCCTCATTTATAAAATTGCTAATCTTTTAAAAAAGTTATATTTATTTATTACATTTTTTTTTAAATATATGTCGGCGATTATATTATTTAAAAATCATTGTCCAATATTTTTTTTTCTATTTCTTGGAAATCCTGCAAATATAATCTTGTAAACTCTTGTAATTTCAAAATCGATTTCTTCACATAATAATATTCTCAATGTCTTATCAGCTGTCGCTTATAAATTTACAATTATATATATATAACACAATCGCATTTTCGTCACGATTATTTGCACTCTTAATTCTTTTGTATGTGAATGAGTGGGGGCTGAGTATCTATTATCGTACATGAAATTGAGCATTGTGCCCGGAATTATTGGTTGGATACCAGCAAGGCGCGAGTTTTGTGTCGGCCACCAACGTAGCTGGGCGTTTCCTCGTAAATCGGTGAAGTCGAAGTGTGATAGCTGGTTGTCAGGTACGCAACCAGTCGATCAAGTAACTCTATGTAGAGGGATACAAACGGCCCGCGGACCTCCGGGAGACTTAGAATATGGCACTGATCTTATGATAGTCGTGACCGTCCGGGGACTGAGTGAGTGATACGAATGATCGCGGTAAATTATCGAGAGATAAAATAAGGAATGGCACGATTTTTTTAGCAATCTAATTGGCAAGATAATGTTTCGCTTTTCATATCGTACATAGCACTAAATAAATTGTAAAAATGCTTTTAGCAGCTTTTTTTACTGCTCTGTAACTTTTTAGAAGATAGAAAAAAATAACACTGAAATACACAGATTATATGTATTAATATATGATTTTAAAGATAATCTTTAATTTTAATTTATACAAATTCATACATTTTCAATTTATACAAAAAATATGATATTAAAAATAAATAAAAAAATATTTTTTGCATGAGAATTAGGAGAGAGATTTTTTATGGTGATATCGCTTTGATGTCGCCGCATTATATTTTGTACCATGAAAGTAACTATTTACGTAGCACATTTGGTATCTTTCCCTCAAGCTAATTTTGGTTTCAGCTGCAATATTGCGTCTTGACACGCTTGGCGTAGTATCTCATATTTTTTTTTATTGACATAAATATTTTATGGGAAGAATTAATATTTGATTCTATTGAATCGGCTTTTGCAAATGGGCGTTTGGTTGAAAAGAAATAAAAATACAGATTTTTACATGAATTTATATACATGTACATGAAATACAATGTATATAATAAAATATACATAAAATAATCTCACGAAAGATCACTCTATTAATAATATATATTTACGATTGATTGCAGATTAAGAAAATTGATAATTCCTGTAAAAACTATTTTCTATGAATTATATTGGTAACTGTGAGGGTTGTTTTCTTTTATAATTAAAGTTTTGATTTAAATATCATTGTTATAATCAAAACTAACTAAACAGCGTAATTTGGCTCACAACAAAATATAATTAAGCTCAACGTTATCGCAATTGCGAATTAACTTAACGAATTCAATACATATAGGCTTCTTATGATGAGAATTTTGCAATAATTTTGACGTGGTTACATAATAAATTCTTTACATGCATCGCACTTTGGCTTGCGACCAGAATCAAAATACGTAGATTCTATCGTAATGAGGTGTAACGTACACCATCTCCCGATTTCGAAAATTCCTGCGCTCCTCTTTCCTGTGGAGATTTCGCAAGAATTTTATTAGCGCTCGCAAAAAATGAAAAAAAAAATTTTTTTTTAATGCTTGGCGTCGCTCCAGCACCGAAATATCTTATCATGCGATATTGCGATTCAATCACCAGAGACATACCTTTGTCTCTCACATCGTAATCCCCAGTTACATTTTTATTAACACAATCAGCAGTATTTACAACTCAGCAGTATCACAACTTTTCACAGTCTGCGTTTTTTATATAAATAAATAAAATAAAAGTATCGATTTAATATATTTTACTGAAATGTAATTAAGTTAATTGTCAATTATGTATAATAGTATAGATTATATTTTGTTTATCTCTCTTTATTAAAGTATTATAATTATAGCATTACTCGCAAGTTAAGATGTAAGGAGAAAGGATATTTAGTATTAAAATTAGTGTCTCAATTTCAATGATGTTTCAGGCATCCGAGGAGTATCGGGAACATAGCACGCATAAAACTCAACGAGCTCGTAAGTCACAACAGAGACAAAATCAACACGTCGTTGAACAGCGTAGCACAACCCTACAGGAGAGCTCTACTGTCACTACAAAGCGCAGTAGCCAACAGGAGCTATCGAAGAAGAATTTCAACGTTATTCGGTTGAATTCTATCCCACTACCTCTTGCGAGCGGTGGCACAGTTATTTGTGAGTACATCTGTGAAAATATCTTTAATTCATATTTCAAAAATTTTTTTTCATTAAAATAATTGAAACAATGAAGATAATTTTTGTCTGGAAAATAAAATACGATTTTTCCATACCGTCGAGAATTTTGGAGCAGCATATACGTCGCATGCAAGTATCGTAAGAAAAAATATGATACATAATTATGCGTATATGTACGTTATTTAATTATCGTTGATGCTTTGATAAACATGCAATAATTGCAAATGATAGAATATAGATTTAAGAATATAGATTAAGAATATATATTAAGAATATAGATTTTTGAATGCATAGTACGATTGGTTGGATACTGGAAAATATACTGTGACATCTATCGATGATTTAATTATTTTATATTTTATAGAAATTTAAATGTTAATAATATCTTTTTTTGATAATATATATCAAAAGAAAATATTTATTTATAAAAAATTAAAACAATTTTGCGATTACAATCTTTTAGTGCAGTAATGAGAATAACGTAAAGCACTGTACGACGTATTGTCGTCTTGTACTATTGCGACAAAGAAACATCAGATATTTATAAATACAATTATACTGAAAGAAAGTATAGTTTAAAATTGAGATGAAATTGCTGTCATAGATTGACAAGACAACAAGTTTGTAATACTGTTCGATTTATTATTAGTTTATACTACTGCGAGAGTAACGCGCTTTTATTCGTCGAAACATTACAGATAATTCTTTGATGCTTCTTTCTTTTATGCAAAAAGATCTCATTATGGAGGAATAAAGATTTTTAATTGATTTAATAGATTAAATTTTTAATTATTTCTCTTAAACAGATATCTTTTATATAATGCACTTTGAAATTACAGATTGAATCATTTTGGGCACATTATTTTATAATTGTTTGATAAACTTGTGCGTGTTTATCGTTTCGAGCTCTAATATCCAACGTAATATCGGCATGATACACGTTTCCGTAATTATTAATTTATGTTCTATTATTAGTTTAACGACAATAACCGAACGTAACAACGTCATCGTGGAACCGATCTATTTGAAACGCAGAAATAAATCTCGAATTTTACTGCGCAACATATACTAAGCATGGTTGCTCTCGAGATTTTACGATGCGGATTTTTTCGTCTCGTGCGAAACAAACTCGGCGCTCTCAAATGTTTGTCCCTCTTAAAACCTTCTTCCCTCTTTCTGCAATACAATTAAAAAATAAACCGTCTCTCAACTTATTTAATGAACATTATGACGAAGGAATTATCATTACTCATGCGCATTACGCGTGCGCAGCGGCATTAAATTTGACTCGATTCGTACTCGTGTGTATTTGATAGTTCGTTCGTGAGATTGATTAACAATCGACGATGCAACGCTATGTAATATTTCGGGTTAAGTAGTTTAACAACTTCAGCATGATAGATTAGTAAATAAATAGAGAATAACATAATAATTTTATAACAATAAGATCAATAATTATTAGTTGGGTTTTAAATTTAATTATTAATAGATTAATATAATATTATATAAATTAATAATATTTAATATTCATATCAAACAACAGAGGAAATGAAATGCTAGCTTCTGCTCTTAAATAACGTAATCAAATTTTCTCTCGACGGTTGACGTTAATAAGTAAGCAGACTACGAGTAATTCAATTATACTTAATGTTCCGCGGTTGACCAACACGCGTTAAGAGAGCGTCAAATGATAGACACGACGGACACATCATCGCGTTTTATCCACCACCTCGCCAAAAATATGGCGAGCTGGACAGGCGGGCCACCACGTGGAAGAAGAGTATATGCATATCGCGCGGATAAGCGCGACATACTGTCCGCGATATTAATATTGGGTGATTAAGTAGCTCCGGATGCATGATACTCGTGGTTGGTCCAAAGCCGAGTCTCGAGATTTCGAGCCGAGGACGATGGCGAGTCCAAAAAAAGAGCGTTCCCTTCCATTCTCCAGATCAGGCTCATTCCCTCGTGCCGACGTAAGAGAAACTGGAACTCGGATTTTCCGGTCGACGAACTCGCGCGGTTCCATTCCGGACGCGTTTTACCTTGCCAAAAGATCTCGTTGCTAAAATCTTGCGCGATAAAGTTTTGTGCTTAATATTTTGCTGCTTTCAGTTCACAAAATGATATATCGCTTCCATTTCAATATACGTTTAATATATAATATCGCAATTAAGAAGGAAACGGCACACCGAATAAAAACGGAGGATGATGAATAATTTTGAATCAGGTCGTTGTGATTCTAGCAGATTATTTACGATATCTCCGGTGACTTTTGAGCGCTGATGCGTGTGAGAACGATGAATTACACGGTGGTGGTTCAACGCATCTCTACGCCTGTCCGCAATTAGTCAAACTCGGCAGGCATCCGTTCCTCTTCGTCATAGCGATTGCGACTAGTGTTAAATGCGCACACGAGCCAGTTCGCTTGCTTGATGACTTCCTTCGGTAAATGAAAAGACGATCACGGAAGCGTAGTCGGGATGTTACACGCCAAGATTCTCGTCTTGTCTATCTTGAGAATTCCAGCATTTCATCCTAGATGATAACAATTTACGTAACCGTAACATTTGATAAAGATAAACAAAGGAATCAAAGAAGAATGGAGAAAAGAATCAAAGTAGGATAATAAAGCAGAATGTTTCTTTGGATGCATCGCAACTGCCTTTGTCTTTCTGCGCACATTTCAAAAAGGATAAAAGCGAGAGACAAAATATAACTATCAAATTGAATAACAAGTTTTAAGAGATTTTCTCTAATTTTGCATACAAGATTAGAAGAAATATTTATAACATGCTTTAAAAAAACTTTGATATAAAGAGGATTCTATTTTAGAGTAAGATGTCTCTTCTCAGGCCAAAAAGTAACATCAAATAATGATAATAATAATCTATCTGACGATCCCCGTCATGAAAAGTATCATGTTCCAAAGACGGCCTCGAGCCGTCTCCTTCAGCAATCGAAGGCAATATGTCGAGCGCCCGGCAATAACGTCATCGTGAGCGCGCCTAATGATGGTCACGTCGTCCCGTTCCCGATTTACCCCGATCAAGCTGGTCTCGTCCAGCGTTGATCTGTACGAGCCACGCAAGTCGTCCATCGCTGAAAGAAAACGACGCGATTACCACAACGTACATACATATATAATATATATGTATATAAAATATACCTCCATCCCTCCACACCGATACACCTGCGCCATAAATCTTGGCGGACCAGGTGCAGGCGCCACGACGCCGACCACTCGCTTCCTCCCACCAGCCTCGGAACCCTCGGATTAGCGCGTGCGTGAACCTCTACAGGTTATTCCAATCGTGTATGCGTGTATAGGCACGTGGTTGCGACCTATAGAGAAGGATAAATTTCCTCATGGAAAACGCGACAAAATAAGACAGACCGAGAGTGAGAGAAAGAGAGATTGGAATTGTTGGGGAAGGAGAGAAAGAGAGAGACAGGCAAGAATGCTTGATAGACAAGATAGATTGGCGAACGAGCATCGCGAGCGATACTCAATCGGCTCCTCCTGGTAACTTTATGCTGGAAAAAAGATCACCCGGCCAGATCGACGGCCGAGCTCTCTCTCTCGCCCCCGCCGTCGACCGACTTTAGTAGCCGTGCGATCGTCAGTCGTGCTAGAGATGCGCCTTCGTGAGGTCGACTGATAGACGCCATCAGGCTGGAGACCTCGAGAACGAAATCGCTGGAGAACGTCGGAAGACGTTGTTACCGTTCGATCAGTCGGTCAGTTGGTCGGTGGGTCGGTTGGTCTCCTCCAGGATTGCCCCGCGGAACCCCTCGGAAATCCTTGACTTTTTTTTTAGCGCAAACACGTTACGGTGGAGATTTATTGCCGCCGATCTATTCGGGGGTTTCTTGTCCTCGGGGTGTTGCCTTCGGCACGTGACGTCGCTTTTGTAACTGGATTCTTTCATCTACGTTGAATCATCTCGATCGATATTTGAAAATGATATAAGATTTTTTTTTTTTAATTTAATTTTCTCTTGCGTAAAAAATCTAATTGTAAGGATAAGATCTACTAATGAGACAGAATCGAAAAGCCATTTAATTAAAAGACATAGAATTTTTCCTTGTGAGATTCATATACGTTTAACTTTGCAATCGTCGTGTAAATCAAAAGACTATTAATTCTTTTGACGAAACAAAAAATACAGTTTCTTTTCATATTAAGAAAAAAACGAGCAATTATTAAACTTTACGGCGATTATATATAGAAAGATTTCCATCTTAAAGTGAGTTTACAATTGATTTGCTATATAATTCATTCAGTGCATCGACAATAATTTACGTAATTCTGAAGTATACTCGTTGGAGATGTTTTGGGCGGAAGAGGAAGCAGAGAAACCAGCCACATGGCAGGAGGTATCAACCTTCTATAGAGCTTGGCTAAAAAGTATATCCTGCAGTGAATTCGATTACGCCGAACGCGGACCGATCTGTTATGCAAAAGATACTCAAGAAAAGGAAGAGATTCCAGGACCCGGACTTGACTTTGCACCACTCATCTTCCAGAGCCTCTTCTATATTCATACGAGAAAAGGTTGCGCCTACAAGAAAAATCTCTGAATACAACTTTGACTGAAAAATTTCTCAACAAACGATATTTGAAAAGCTATATCAAATAATTTATAATTTATAGTAATCAGATTATCGACCTATTATCAATTAAAAAATTAATTTATGAATACTTATGAAAAATTAAATGTTTAATAAGAAGATATATCTAAAAAATATATTTTTTTGATATGTGCATTGTTTTGTTGAAAAATATATTTTGACTCATTTGTTCAATACACACACATATATACTTCTTAAAATTTTATCCATTTTCTACATGTGTACAAACCGTTGATTATTATTATATGTCTTCGAAAAATATAGATACATCAACGAAATAGAAATCTGATCTATTTTTTTAAAACATGATAGAAATATATATATATATATATATATATATGAAAAATGAATTACTTTTTTTCTATTTCTGAGGAAAATTATTTTTGTGCGAAGATATTATTATATATCTTTGAATATATGAAATGGCGAGCAACATGACAAACACAAACATTAAGCAGTTATTTTTAATATGAAATCGTGTTTGCGAAAACTGTAATTTTGTATACCAGTGCCAACCAATCGCGCGACGCATTCGAGGAAAATATGTCGCGTAAGTGTCCTTGGATTATGTCTGATAAACATTGCTCTCTGCTCATTTTCAGCCGAAGTAAAGATGCCGAGCGGAAATACAGATAAACCAGTGATCGAGGACAATCACGATGGTACGGTATCCATCAAGTACGAGCCGAGGGAAGAGGGCCTTCACGAGATTTATGTGAAATTCAACGGCGAACATGTCCAGGGTAAATTAATCCATTCATCTCGCGAATTAACAGCGATTACGCAATCGTCAGGCGCGATCGATCATATGGCAGCTTCCAAGAATAACGCGCTATAATCCATGATGCCTGCAAGATCCGTACGATCCTGGAACAGGGAGGCTATATGAAAATTCATTTTCCGTGTAATGAATTCCGCGAGCGCCAATTTGCGCTAATAATAAATCTCTCCTCGTCTGCGACAAATTAATATCACACGATCATCATTAAACTTCCCAATATTACCTTCATAGATAAATTTTTATTATATATTATTTACTATATTATCTCTCATTGTATAATTTATTTTTAAAACACTTATTTTTTAAATTTATTTTTTTTTTTAATTTATATAA